CGTAGAAAACAGAAAAGAAATGTCTTGATCTAAAAAGGAAATGTTGAACACATTTCCAGAATTTTACTGGTTTACAAATGATAATTTCAATTAAAAAATGTGCAAATGAAAGGGGTAATTACAATTTCGGAATCTGACTGGTTTATGTACATAAATTTCAATTGAAAACTGTGTAATGTGACTTTTATTCAGTTACGTATTTATTATTTGTGTTATTATTCTCTTTTCTCTCCCCCCCCGGTAGGCATCTCTTACGTCCAAATGTTCATATAAATGCTCAACTTTTGAGACATTTTTCGTGAAGTTATTAATGCAGGAATGTCGAGAATTTTTGTTTCTTAACCGCTGCCACCCCGCGAATTTTCTTTTCCCCATGCCATAAAATTACAGGCCTACCTACAACGAATTGCTGCTACTTTTCCTTTCTGAAAGGAAACTGCAAGTTTGTATGTAGGAAATAGGAGTGAAATTAATTGGGATTATATGTTTTAAGCAGTCCCATAAAACACGAAAAACTATTTTATATGTTACGCTGAGAATTTCTTTTTTGCACATAATTCCTTTCAGACACCAGTATCGATTATTATTCCTTCTCTCTCTTTTTTTTAGTAGCAGCATGTGTTTATCAACACGGAAACGTATTCCCGTCATAACTTATCCATTATGATGGAAACAACATCTGTCGCTAGGGGTCGTAACCCTTTCTCCTGTCAGTCAGTTGTTAGGCTGAGATTCGTATGCGGGATGTTGTTGCCTGCGTTTGTGCAGAACTCTAAATTTCTGTTGCCCACGCCGCATTCCGTACTCTGACACCTGCGATCTCTTGTCCAACCACCTGCTCCAAGCAGCTGACGTGATTCACGCCCTTTCCCGCAATAACATTTTTGTTTCTTTCTCATCGAGTTGGGAGCAGTTAGTTCATCGATAAGGCTTACTCCTCCTCGTGAAACTTCCTCATCTGGACTAACCGAGAAAAGAATTGGCCAGAAGTTTGTGTTCCAAGGTACGTTGCTCCAGCCTTTAGTTCAGCTTCTTATCTTTTTTAGGTATGCCCTGATTGATCCTTTCTAAAAAAGACTAAGAGTATTTTCCGAGGTAACTGAGTAATTTATAAGGTTATATTGATTGGCCACCTAAAACGTTCTCGATTGAACTGAAGCGCTTGGAGACGCAGATATATTGTTATACCTTTGAATTCCTCCCCCCCCTAAAAAACATATTGAATGAATATAAGATGAGTCCCTCCCCCTTCTCCTTAAAATGTCCTTCTGTCAACCTATTTATTTTATACGCTCAGCTTAACGTTTAAAATAGTGTATTAAGATAATATATTGCTTATTCCTTAACTCAAATTATGTCATTTATAATCAAGCATACCAAACTCATTTATGAAAAGTCGTCTAAGTCAAGGCTTTCTCTTTTTATTTCTTATTTTATAAAGCATCGTGTGCCACACTGGTTCATTTTATACATAAGGCTGTTTCTTATTTGAATCAAAAAAGTGTTGTTTACCTTTATATTTTGAAATTATATTTTTTAATTATATTTGTTAAAAAATTAAAAGTAAAGAAATTGTGTAACTAATTACCTTTAGTTTTTAGAATTTCGTAATTTTGAATCATGTTTTATTAAAACTGAAACAGTGATTTAAAAATACAGAATACTTGTATAGACATTAGGTATTTTTGGAAGCAGGCAAGATGAAAAAATTAACAAATCCCTTCGCCGAGAATCGAAGCATGGACCTCTGGAATACCGGCCCAGTGTGCAGAACCAAGATACATCGAAGGCACGCTAAGAAGACGGATGAAATACCTTATATATTCCCCCTTTTAAAGGATGACTGGGGTCTTTAGGGGACCCCATCGCCAAATCCTGGATGAGGATAATCATCATCCAACACCATTTTAGTTCGGGCGCCACTGTAGAGACATTAGGTATTTTTGATAGCAGGCAATATGAAAAATGAGCAAACGCCATCGGCGGGAATCGAACCACAAACCTTTGAAATACCGACCCAGCGTGCAGAATCACTACACCACGAAGGCACACCAGGAAGGCGGAGGAAATACTTATATACTTACAAAACACACAGCTAACAATTTTTGATAATATTCCTTTATTCTAGCTCGTAGTAGAGACGTAATTAACGCCTGATTGATAGCACTGACAATCACTGCTTCATGTGCACTGGATATAGTTTTCCAGTAAAAAGAAACAGTAGCTTAAATAATAAGTTACGTTATAACATTAATTTTGTAAGAAAAAAATCAAAATACAAATGTATTGGAAATATACTACACAAGATAAATTATGTATTGACAAATATTTCATTTTACAAAATACGAATTCAATTTTATATCATTGTTTGGTGTTCAATTGTAGTGTATGAATGAGATAGGTCAGAAGTAGGCGTGGTTTATTTCAATCAATGACATTATTGGTTGAACGATTTACTGTTTTATTATTAAGGTAAAATAAATCCAAAAAATATACTTTTGAATTTAATGTAACTTTTTTGTGCAAGACTATAATAAAGTGTAGAATTCATTAAAGATTTGGATAATAATGTGCTAAACATTGTGAAAAAATAACCAATAAAAATAAAATTATTTAACATTTTTTAAAGTTATGATAACAAACCATTCAGGCCCGGCTCCAGTATTTTCAGTGCTTCAGTATTTCTAGTAATTTTCATTCTTTGATAATATTCAAACTCCTAAATGTACTAAGACAGGAAATTAAATTAAAGTCTTTCTCTAAGTGTTTCATTAATAGTTTTGCAGAATTAAACTTGCATCAGTATATTATTAGAAAAATCTCTAATGTGGTATGGGATCTACGTTAAGTATAACTTTTGTATAAACGACATATATAGTAAAGCTGTTAAATTAGTAGATCATAAAAAGCAAAGATTCTGAAATAAAAAAAGAATTAACTAAATCTTTCATAAAATTCATTTTTAGTTGGTTGATTCACGGTCTAGAATTATAAGGAACTAGATGAACTTTTTATTTATAAGTATCTTTATTTATAGAATAAAATCCATTCGTAGGAAATATGGCTTCTCTTTTTTTATTGTAATAAAATTTTATATAATTGATATTATACATAATTCTAAAAAGCAATTGCAATAAGTTTTATGATTAAAGTACTCTGCATTTTCCTTTGATAACTGAAGAATATATTTATTATGAAGGACGGAACTCTACTATTTTAGATTTCTCTGGTGAAACAGGATTAAAATGATTTGAAATGAGCAATATTGTTGTTTCATTTCAAAACAAAAACAACATTACTATTCGTTTCAAAATAATATAACGATTTCATATATGCAACTGCAACGTCTTGAATATGCCCATTGTGCGAACATCTCTAATTATTGAACTTAACGGTAGTATTGCTTTATTTCAAATGATGTGAAATGAAAGTTATTCTGAAGTTATTCTTCTTAGTACATTGTAATTGGAAGTTATGTCAAACGTCTGAAAAAGTAGTTATTTCTGAAATCAAATTCATAAATGTTCTATGTGTGTTTTATATTGAATAAATTTGCGTTTCTATTATCAATTTAAAACTCATGCGCAGATACATACCTTAATATTGAATAATGAACGAACCTCTTTTCTATAATTTTTTATCTACAGTATGTATGTAAATACTTACGTACACATTGTATGCTGGACACCATTATGCAATGACAATCTCCAGCATATAGAAATGAGGGTGCCTACAAGAAAAAGCTGTTGCAATCGTTAATATCACAGGTATATATGCACTTCCATTACTGGTAATTTCAAAATGAGCCTTCGAATTCGGCCACAGCATAAGCACTTTTTTAATGTCTCAGAGCTTTGCCAAAAATTTTTTAAATTTTGCGTTGCGTTACGTTAGGCTACCTTTATGATTCATGCAGTTTGCTAAATGCTACCATTGTGCAAGTAGCTCTAAATTTACCATTGGTGATTCATGGGTAAAAATCAATTTTCAGAATAATGCAATCTGATGTTACTTGAGATACGTTTTAAATTATAATTATTCGATCATTTGAGCGATTTAAAAACAATAAATGTATTTCTTAACATTTTAAATTTGTATTATGCTTTTAATTACATTATAAGGTATTTCTCCCGCCTTCTTAGCATGCCTTCGTGGTGTGATGGTCTGCACGCTGGGCGCGTATTCCAGAGTTCCGTGGTTCGATTCCCGGTGAGGGCGTTGCTCTGTTTTCATCTTTCCTGCTTCGAAATAACCTAATGTCTCTACATCATATTTAAATGTTATTAAAAATATAATACAGACATATTAAATGGTGCAATTTAAATTCATATAGCATATACTATATCAAGCTGATAAATTTTATAAAAAATTGCAGCATTATTGCAATTAATTTTTAATACTGCTTTATCAAATGCATCAAAAGTATTTGGTTTTTTAATTGAAAATTTTATCAAGTGACCAATTAGACAGGTATTCTTCTACTGATTCAACTTTTTTAAAAGTTTTTTTTTTATTGGGTATTTAAATCTTGGCTGCCAAAATGCTATTAAAGTGTTCCTCAGTAGTATTCCTTTTCTTGAGATCATTTCTTTAAATCATATCCATTATCTTATTATACAAGGAAAACTGTGCATTATTCTTTGCATTTCGTATTATGTCTGGCTAAATATTCAGTTCTTTGGTTAATGATGCACAGTCTGGGATGAAGCAGAAGCAATCTGTGCATGGACAGAAAAAAGTTCAAAAATGCATAATCTAGGCTAAATCACAATATATTGCAGCAACATCAGTGTAAATGCTTGCTAAGTGTAAAGGTAACAAATTATGCTTTGAAATTTTATTAGAATTTTAAACTTTTCTAAGAAAATAATTATTTTATTCACAAGTATTTCCCAGTTGCGTTCAACTGAACGCAAAAGCGAAACTTTATATCCAAGCTGCATACATTAAATATATTTTAATATAAATGTCTGAAAAAATAAAGCAAAAAAATTGCTTTATTGTAATCGCAGCACATTGAAATAAAAAGGTAAAAATCTTCATTGAAACTAAAGATCTATGAAGGACACATGGACTCTAAGCACAAATAAAGTGTATGGCAGGGTGGTTTTTTACGTAAGGTGAGAAGTAGACGGCCACAACGACCTCGCTGCACCAGTGTTCATTAGGAAAAATATCCTGTGCGAATAGTAAGTCTGAACCATTCCTCCTTAAGATCTTATGTCATACAGTTCATAGACGTCGCATCATAACCATGAAGACTATACGCACTATTTACAAGTGTATTAAATAAAGTGCATGACAAGGTAACATTTTTCTTACGTACGGTCACACGTTTGTTGACGGGTGATAGCCATTGCTTTATCTGCCTTTAACGATGCAGATCCTCCTCTGAGACTAAAATGGTATGTTCAGCGACGCACATGGGTGTATGAATTGTCGTCTCAGATGAGTCGCGCTTTTAAATACAATATGATGGAGTTCTCATGTAAAGGACAAGTGTAAGCAGAGTTTGTTGGAATTATGCCTTATGCATCATTACCGTAATTACTAGCATCAGAAGTTATGACTTATGGAGCGACTGGATACAAGTCCCACCGCCTTTTGGTGCACATATTTGGCGTTCTGACCAGTCAGTGTTACATTACAGTAGCATTATTGGTCTGTGGTTGCTTTATATTTTTGGAGGCACCACTCCAAAGTCACTTGTCAACAGAATAATGAACAGGGACACGTCAGAAACACCGTCCGACACTTCTTCGATATGCAGCGATATGTTACGGTTCTGCCTCCGCTGACGCGTTTACATCTTTCACGATTCATCTTATTTATAAATTCCTATACGTAGTATGAAAAAGACCATCTACAGTTACGGAAGTTTAACTACAGCAAAGAGCTGTTTAGACTGCAGTATTCCAAAATAATAACCAAAGTCTCTTCGACTCTTTTGTGATCTCGGAGAAGACATGGACGTTTGGTAAGTACAGCATGGAGGCTCTCAAAATACTGATAAGCCAAAAATACTCTTGAGGGATTTGGTGGCAGGAAAACAGGGTGGGAGACCCTCGGATCATTCCCCTGGAATGTTCTCCGTTAATATTTTGGTTACACTTTAGGATTTGCCACTGTGTCATTCTAAGCTACAGTTGAATGTGAAGAATCTTAAGAACTAGTAAGCGAATAATCGCTTGAGTTCGTGAGACAGTAAATAAACTCGAAAAGGGTTAAAAGAACCTTTATTATTCAAATGAAATTTAGCAGAACTCCATCTTGGAGTTGTTCAATAAAGCCGACAAGATATTAAGAATTAAACTAAACTAATCTTAACTAAAGAAATATGACCGAAGCTATCAAACTTCTAAACGGAGTTGGCCCCTTAACGCTAATTTACTACGAAGCTATCAAGGGTCTAAATTACGGCCGAGAGTGATAATAGCTTAAGAGAGATTAACCTAAAAAGGTGGATGCGTGCTAACCAGAATCTCTGGTTCTTTCTGACTAAGACAGTAGAACTTCGTGGTTAAATACCACTCTTCCTCAATTTACATTCAGATGTGATTCTAAAACTACGTGCTGGTCGGAAGTGGTAAGTTGAAATTAAGAAGCGATAGGAAAGGAAGTTTAACTCAAAATTTAGCTGTTAATAAAATTAATATAATCCTTACAACACAATTAGTGCGATAGGACTACACCTGTACAACCTATTTTAGTGTCTCTTTCACTGTGCCTGTACCTCTAGAAATATTGTTGCAGAAGGCGACTAAACTGCGTTATGATCATAACACATTCTGTTTGTATAACTCACCTGAAATTTTAATGACTTCATCTTCGTATCTCAGGAAATGGTTAAAATAAATTTATGTGTGTTTTGTATCGTAGTCTCTGTTAGAATTGCAAATTCAATGGCTAGCAGTAGTTGAGAATTTATGAAATAAGAGAATCTTTTCATTTAAACAGTTAGGTAACCCTCATCTTCAGATGCAAAATTTGTTTAATATCTTAAAAATATGAATGAATGATTTGTAGGAATGTTGGAATAAGGGGTATCTTATAGGCTGATCTTATAAATTCGCTTCTGGTCAGCAGTTTACAATAGTTTTGAACACGTATTGCTAAACAAAATTTCAGGAATTTCGTCTTACTATGGCGCATCATTGTAACTGATATCGCTTAAAAGTTACAATCATACTTACAGATATTTGCTGTTTTATGTTAAGTTCATTTTACGCTTTTGCACTAAAGGCCTACTTAAGAATATTTGTTTCGGTTTATAACATAATTTCGAAGATTTTTTTGAAGAAAAGTGAAAAGCAAAATTACCATACACCTCTTGATTTATGCAATATTTAAAAGAAAATAATTGTTTTATTGTGAAGAAGTATATTCATTTAAGGCAGTTTTGCATAATATTTTGATTGCCTTTCGAAAAAATGAAAGTTAGTAAAATGAAATGCTACAGCAACGAGTGCTGTAGCATTTCAAATTTTTAGTATCATTCAGAGCGGACAGCCAACCTCCACTACCGAATTGGATTGTACTGGAGCAGAGAAAGAATGCATATGTAAAGGCTGTGACATAATGATTAAAAATAGTTATAACACTGGTCTCAAGAAACTTTCATTACTGAAAGTGGCATAACTGGCACAGCTTACGTCACTATTAGTACTTTTTTAAAAGCCCTTCTAACTCGCGCTCACTGTCTTTCAAATTTTGGAAGGTGAAGTTTCACTATCTTATACATATGCGGCTTAATTGTTTGTCGCCAATAGTTTATTGGTTGTTTGCGTAACTGTAAATTGTTTTATTCCCCGTGCAGTGCAGCGCGTGACGAATATTATGAGAATGCTAAGCCGAAAAAATTAAAAATACAAGAGCACGTGCATTTAACATTTAATTAAATTAAATTAATTTAACATCTATATATAATAGAATTTGGAAATATGCAGCCGGCAAAAACCGGCAATAATGAAAAACAAATAAAATGAAATAAATAAATATCTTTATTATATGCGGCTTAAGTGTCTGTTTGTCGCCGATAGTTTATGGGTTGCTTGGGTAACTGTACTAGCCAATGCGGTGAAGTTGCTACGGCACAGGGTTGCCGTTTTAGTTGAGACGTAGACAATTTCCTGTAAAACTTGCCTTTGCTATGACCATCAATAAGCCTCAGGGCCAAATGCTTAAGCGTGTTGGCATTTTTTTACCTGAGCCTGCATTTGGACGCGGTCAACTTTATGTTACCTGTTCTAAGAGTTCGTGAATAGAGCGGAACGTAAAATTAAAAATAATTAATGTTTCTCTGCAAAGGCGAGCTTAAAAATGATCGGAAAGATCTACACAAGAAATGTTGTGTAGAAAGAGATCTTTGACGTGTGAATTAACATTTTATTATTTAAAACCACCTTTACTTATTGAGCTAGGCGGTGGGCTCTTTAAGAAATGTACCGCCAGTGGTTTTCCTTCAATTGCACTCTAAGTAATTAAGCAAGTAGAAGGGGAAAACCCCGTGGGGTAGTAAGCAAAGGGGCGTCCTCGCCGCTTGCCCTGGGTAATTGAGTTTTAATTAGCAGATACCTTTGCACAAATCATTTTAATTACAATTTATAATATCTAGAACAGCGGACATTTCGTATGACCGCCGTGCTTTCTAGTATATATATATTCTGATTCATTGCGCGTTTAAAAAATGATTTATGCTTTTCGTATATTTTATGCTTCATGTGTTAGTTAGCATGATACAATAGTTATTTTTGCGGGCTAGATATATTAAAAATATTTCCTGTATTTGTTAACAGTTATTATTCCTTTGTTTTACACTCATTTCAGTAAAGCTGTTAAACTAGTTTCATAAAATTGATTTTTACTTAATACCAACTTTAACTTAGAGATTTTCAATCGGAAGGAGAGGGAAAGGGGATTTTATTTTTTGACTGGAAATTATTCGGTCGTTCAGTAATGTTCAAACTGAAGATTAATTATATTTTTCTAAATTTAGATAATACTAAATTATTACGGTATCTCCAAACTCGAGTATAAAATGGAAATACTGCATTTTTAAAAATATTTGTTGTTCTGCGCAGATGAATCCATCACGAATGAAAGCTTATGTATTGTGACATAGTGTGCGGCAATATGTTCATTCATTCCTTAATTGAAGTAGCAGTTTAGGGAAGAAATTTACTTAAGATTCTATGAATTAATGTGTCAAAAAACTGTAAAATATAATTCATATGAGTAAAGTGACATATGGCTTCATTATGTTTCTCGCAGGATATTTTATTGTGTTTAAATAAAACACTAATACCATATACTAAAAGAAAGGACATTTCCGACGTTTCAATGTGGTAAGTACGTTTCCTTATTTAGTTATATTTATACAAGCATTTACAGAAGCAGTCAATTGATGACAGAAACTCAGTTTTCCTGTGAGAAAAGGTTTTCCTTATGTTGGCGAGCATTACTTACTCATTGCATAATTAATTTAATTCCTTTTATTTGTGATTAGTATTTTAATTCAGAAACTTAAAAACTTCTGAGCAAAATCGCTCTGTCATCTGTATGGTGCTCAAGGCCATTGCCAACGATAGGCACAATCTTGCACTCCTTGCCACGATAAATTTCGTGGGCATGTTCTGATATTACTGTCAGACAAGTCAAAACTGTGAGGTAAGTCACAGCAACAGAAACCTAAAAAGCATTTCACTTACTTGTGACGAAATGTACCATTGTGGTAGAATTAAAAACATATCGTGTTAGACTTAGCTTCCGTCGCTGGCTTCCGTTTCCGTTTATCAGATATGTTACAATTTCCGGGCAATATTATTAACTAATTTTATTATCTTCCGGTTTGTATCTGTAAAATATATCATTCTGAAAATGAAATCTTTGAGGGTGAAGAAATTACAGCGTTAAAATTAGTATCCTGTTATTTACCTTCCTCTTTTAAGAACACAAGCATTTTTATACGCGAACGTTTCATACCTTGTGTATAGCTGCAAACCTCTGAAGATAGGATACATTTATTATATCCCTATAGCGATAACAATTAATACAGATGAAGAAAAAGTAACTACAACAATACCATTTTTCTCTATAAAATTTCCCAACTTCAAACATTTGGCCCCAAACTCTGCTGTTACCGAAAAGGTCATGAAAAACATATATTGATCTACTCGTATATAAGATGTTTGGGCACTCTTTTAAAACTTTTGATGTAATGCAGCTAATTATAATACAAGTATTATTTTTTTAGTTGTCAGTCTCTCAACTATCGAGCTTCGGTTAGTTTCCCTGACAAAATGCACATCTTAATTCCAATTTGAAGGGGAGGGTGTGTTTTCCTAATCCTTTTGTGCTGCTTTTTATGGCCTGTCAATTGTCTTTGGTTAATGTATATAAAGTGTCAGTAATTTGAAAACGCAACAGTCCGTTGATGCCTCATCAAAAGACTTTTCTGAAAAATTCAGAAAGAATATACACTTCATCCCTATCTCCCTTTCCTCCTCCGTAAGTTATAGTTGTAGATTGTCACGTGCGATTCATGTTTTTATCCTGATGGATTTCAACTTAATTTGGATTGTGTAAATCAAGAAGTGGAATTCCGTTCTTAAATTTCTTAACTATAAAAGACAAAACATTATTTTGATAATGCGCATAGTTAACTTTACTTTTCTTTCCGGTCTTCGCAATATTAATTTTTCAGTCCACAATTACTGCTCATGTTAGTATAACTATAATGATACAACGTTTAACAGTATCGTCCTCTATACTGTAAAAACCAAGTTTTTAAGTCTTTTCTCGACTCTTCCTTCTTTTCTTCTTAGACGTTCTAAGGCAACTACTTTTTATTAAAATTGTACAAACAAACTTTAAATTTTCATATGTAAAGTTATAATCAGAAAGCCATATATGGATTTGCACTTTCCCACGTTCTTCAAAAGACTATAAACATGGTTATTTTTTTATAAATATATATATAAATAATGTATAAATATAAATGTATAATTTATATATAAATAATGGTTTATAAGTTTATTCACAGTAGGATCTAGTATTTTAAAGGCTGTTGATATTGCCTGCTGAGTAGATGTGTCTTCGTTTAAAACATAATTTTAATTTTTAAAATAGTCTTATAAGTATACCTTTCAATTGAATAAACATTTGGCATTACCTTTTCTGTAGAAATCATAGCCTTTGAGTAGTATAGTGGCTAACAACATTGACTGCCACACCGATATGCCAGGGTTTGAATTCCGAATGAGGCGTACATGTTTGTAAGTTTATCGAGTATGTGCGGTATGGGGTACTACTTTCAAGTAGTTTGTTAGTAAGAGAAGAGGGATGGAAGATCTTCGGCCCATTCCCCTGGGTTTTTGCATCAAAACTGGGGCAGAGATGCGCAGTTAATGTGTTGGACTATGGCTGCAAACTTATGATGAAATTTTGCCCATTTTTATCAGTACCTGTAAAAATCAGTGATTGTCGCGAAGCGAATTCGGCAAGATTTTCCCCACGAAATGATTGCAAGAAAATTCAGATCGAAAGAATTGTAAAGGAGGCCAACATACTCATGTTTTATTAACCGCCCATGTGATGCCTTTTAGTCGTGCGAAGATCGCTGCAAAATCTAAGCCGTTCATCTTGCAGTTAATATTCTAAAATCAATTTAATCTCAAAGTTATCCTTCCCAGATTTTAGCTACCATTAGTAACAGGCTTATGGAGCTATAACGTTGAGGAATAACGGATTTTCCCTCGAAAACTGAGAAATACTTGACTAAGCGAACATTATTTGTGTATGTTAATCTGGCATTTGAGTATGAATTTCTAATCTGGAAATAAAATGAGATTGCTGATATATGTCCCAGTCTAAACCTCCATTCTGGGGGGAGCATTTTAACGAAAGACTGGTACGAAATTTCTGAGTCATTGCTTGAATTTATCATGAACATGAAAGACATCCTGAAAGATATTATGCGAGTGCTCATTTTTTTATAATAAATTGTTTTCAACGATACCATGAGCGATGGCAAGCGGACAGCAAAAAAATAAACAAACTTAATTTATCATAATATGTTGTTATTTATTTAAATTTTTATAGGTTTTAGAGTCATTATGTTATTTCGAAGCAGAAGAGATGAAACATGAGCAATGCCTTCGCCGGGACTCGAACCACGGACTCTCGAATACGCGCCGAGTGTGCTGACCACTATACTACGAAGGTATGCTACAAAGTCGGGAAAAGTACAAATACCTTACATACGCCCTCTTTTAAACGGCGACTGATGATTAGGGAATCCAGTCGCCAAATCCTGGTGGCGGAGGATCATCATACACCAACCTTTTTAGTTCGAGCGATACTTAGAGTTATTAGGTTATTTCAAAGCAGGAGAGATGAAAAATGAGCAATGCCCTCACCGAGACTCGAACCACGGACCTCTCGAATACGCACCGAGTGTGTTCACCACTACATCACGAAGGCGTGCTAAGAAGGCGAGAGAAATACCTTACAGGTTTATTATTTAAAAATGTTTAATTAGTCAAAAGAGTTATTTAAAGAATAAATATTAAATATTAAATATTCCGTCATTGGTCCCACTGTCTTCTGACTCCTTTAATTTAATGCTAACTTCTTGCATAGGTTTTTTCTTTTTTTCTTCTGTCTGGTTCAGACAGCAATCAGAGTGGAATACTTTATTATCCCAGGTACAGATTTTAAATCACAATGCTTGTGTCTATCTTCCTGTTACATTCTTCCTTCTATTGATTAATGAATCATATTTTTACTTCCATTCACCTAGTTTTGATTAATGAAACTTCTTTTCAGAGTATATCACATTTTATAGTTCTATTTTTCTTCCTTCAAACTGACCTTGACTTGTACACAAGAATTCTATATTAGGCTATTGTGTTAAGCCGAAAACTGCTATGTACCAATTTTTTTTATCCTGGAATACATTAAAAGGGAGTTTAAATGTGCAGATTGAATTAGCGATATAATGTGGAAATTATGATAGCTCATTGGTTCGCGTCTAAAAGCTAAATAATGTATAATCATGATTTTTCAATAAATCAAATCTTTGAAAATTAAAACTCTCTAAAGAGTAAAATAAATTTATTTAGATAATGCACTTAACAAAGTTTGAAAGACTGCCTAAAGAACTCATTGTAATGAAATGGTGTAGACTTAATTATTTCGCTGTTTCTGCTGAAAGAATTTGAATATGTAATTATAAGAATAACTAAATAAATAAGTAAAACTGCGCAGGAAATGTTTTCTTAACATTGTTTCTTAAGTTGCTAATATGATTTTGAAAATATCTTCATGAATATTAATAGGGTAGACAAATTAACCCTTAACCTTTCTTGTGAATTTTTGGTGTATAAAGGTACCCGCCGTCCGTGAAACTGTTTTTTCTAAAGAAATAAAAATAGAAATGTTAATGAAACTTTTTACAACTGGTCATAAACTGAACTTGAGCATTTATTTTTCGTTACTGTTACATTAAGAGATGTAGAAGATTTATAAAAGGAACAGTCTCAGAGATGGCGCCTGACCAGTAGGCTGACTGAATAGGGTATAAACCACGAAACTATCTGTCTAGGCGGAGGGACGTCTTCGTGAAGGACTATCTAGAAGAAACTGCTTCCTATTCACTTCACATTTGAGAAAGACGACGAAAACCAACCATGCAGCGAGTCCGTTCGCCTCAGATCAAGCTTACCGACTAGTTAAGAGTTAACAAAAACGTTATAAGTTTATGTCTTTATTTTATTTGTAAGTGAAATTATTCATGAACATAATTCGAGGGAAAAAATCCTTAATACTATATATATATAACACCATAATTAGTAATGCATTTAGAAAAATGTATGATTTATATCGATATTACGTAATTTCTGGTTCTTTACATGTATGCTTTCTTTTGCACACTTTTTGCTGTTATGTTTTCAGCTGCTTCTTCTCTGATAGCTAACTTTTACTGCTGTATTAATTTACATTTCATTTTTAAATAAATGTATAAAACATTTCGTTATTGCATTTCCTCCTTAAACATTCTCCTATCAAAATGTTAAATTCTTATATACATATAAGGCAGTTTTAAAGTTTTGGGGCTTTTAAAATTTAAAAATAATTACGTGTATTGATATTACTTCTTCGGTTTGGAAGTGAAATGGCAAGATTAATATAAGACACCAAAGAGACTCTTTTAACATTTTGTGTGTTACGTTTATCAGTTAAATATCATGATTTTTACACTTAAACAACGCTAAATGCAATTCAAGAGCAGTGTCACAAAATATTTAAAAACAGCATATCTTTAAGAATTTCCGACAGACAGTCTTGCGCGCTGGAGATAAAAAGGACTTTTTCCCCCGTACAGTGTTGTCATTGCTTGCTTTGAAATCGTTGAGATTGTTAATAAAAAATTAATTAAAGTTTTACAAAATATGAAATAAATAATAAAACGAATTCGAAATTCAAAATTCGGGCTTCCAGGTCCCAGGAGGATTACGTTATTCAAAATTGGATGGCTCTAGGTTCCGCAGTTTCTTCACAATGCAAGAAACATGCAAACATTCATGTAGATTCTTCATTATTTACTTTCTTTAAATGTAATACAGGAGGATAATATTTGGCGGCAACAATTTAAAAATTGACTCTCCATTTTTAGTAAAACGCGACAAAATGCCGTTCTTATAGCCCTTCTGAACTATCGCACTTCGGACTGAAAATACAAATTAAAACACAAAGATATGAAACTTAAGATTAAAGAAAAGGTCTGATATTAATTGTACCCCAGTAGATTAGAAAACAATGTTCGGATATGAAATAAAAAAAACCCCTAATTTATATTAATTTAAACACAGTTTACATTAGAGAATTATAGCTAATATAAATACTCTAGCACCACCGTAAAGGATAATCGGATTTCCTGTGAACTACCGTTTAATACATAGCATTCATGAAACAAAAGCAAGTGTCTCTTACAATTATGGAACTAAACTTAATAGCATTGTGACGTCATTTAATAGTTTCATAAACTTATCTCATAAATCCGTTAAGGTATAATAATTGCTTAAAATAGACCATTTCCATTATCAGCGTAATAAATATCTTTAATAATAATCTATTGATAACAAGTTCCGTGTTATTTGCATTTTATATGTGCTACATTATATCGCACGTAACTGCATCATTTCAGATGAAGAGCATCAGATTTTTTCCTTGCTTTATTATAAATTTATTCGGTGATTCCAAGGAAGTTTTTCGAACAACAGGATCATAAATTCTTTGATTACACTACAAGGCAAGACATTCTAGTAAGAAATGAGAATGATTGGGAGAAGCAGAAGTCGAAGAAGCTCACACCGAATCCTTTTCCTGCTACAAATTATCCAGTTGTGCAAAATGTAATCTATACGACACAGGTATTTATTTATATGCTCTACAATACTTGTCTAATTGTTGTAGAAGATAAATGCAAGAAATTATATACTCGCGTAATGTCCACTCGACATTACGCGAGTATATATATAATAAAGTGCGAAATTAAGTAGTTGTTTTAATTTTTTTTAACGAATAGGCTATTTTAATTAATTGTTTTTACGAAATGCATAGATAAAATTTATTTTGTCTAAAATTTTAATTGTAGGCATGAGTGATGTTAGGAACATCTGTAATCAAATATTTTCCCTTTTCACTTAAAATTATGTTAAATTATATAACAATACCGCCACATTGCAGTAAAAATTCGCGCAGTTTGCCAGTTCTGAAACTGTTGCCATTCCTTGCGATTAAGATACTTAATTTATTTTTTAAATTATTTATACGTTTCTGTTCTTTAAAATTATAATTAGTAGTATATTATTGTAAAATGTAATTGGTATTTGTAGTTACAGTATGTTGTTTATCATTGCTATTTAAAAGTAATATACTTTTAATAATTTGAAAACATATATATATATATATATATATGTGTGTGTGTGTGTGTGTGTGTGATAAAGTGTTTGGAGACATTATTTTCAAGTATAATATAATGTATTTCATTCACAACAATTTACAGTAGCATTTCTTAAACATTTTAAAACGGCGACTACTTTTCTGAGGACCACTTTACTTTTGTTCCCTTCGAAAGTAAATTTTTAGCATATATACTACCAGTATACTTACAATTTTTTAAATTAAAATTTATTTAATATTATGCTGGTTAGTTTAAATTAATAAAATAGTAAAAAAAATCTGAAAGTTTTCAGATTTTAAATTACGTCTAAAGGGGCGTTTTTTAATGTTTTGTGTGTTACCTTTATTTATTAAATATTATCATGTTCTTTGAACTTTAACCATTTAATTCAGTTCAAGAGCAATATCGCAAAATAATTTTAAAATGAGCCTATCTTTAGAATTTCCGATGCACAGTTCCGCGCGCTGGAGATAAAAAAGGTCCCCCCCCCCCCCGGTGTAGTGTTGCTATTGCTTGCTTTTAAATCGTTGAGTTTGTTAATCAAAAATTCGTTAAAGTTTTACAAAATATGAAATCCATAAGAAAACAAATTCCAAATTTCAGATTTGGGCTTTTAGATGCCCACAAGTAAGATTACGCCATTCAAAATTGGATGGCTCTAGGTACCGTTGATTTATCACAATGCGAGAAACATACATACATTTATGCAGATTCTTCATTACTTAATTTCTTTAAATATAATACAGGGTGATAGTATTTGATGGCAACGATTTGAAACGTGATACGCCGTTTATAGGGTTCGGACGTAAAATCGCAAAACGGAAACAATAGTCCTTCAGGTGCAAAGCCCCTTTGGACTAATAATTTAATTTAAATCAAATTATTATTTTTTTTGGAAATTTTTTCTAAATGGAATATAGTTTGAGAAACGTTTGTTTACAGTATTACTATAATTCAAAAAAGGCATCATAATTAATAAACGAACTATAATTGATAAAAGACAGTATACTTAATAAAAGACAATATTTGATGCTAGGCTAAATGTCTCACAAAAGTGATTAGAAACTTTTAGGATATGAAAATAATGTAAAACATTCTAAATACGTTAAACTGAAATTAGATGGCTTCCTTTGAAGCACGAAACCTAGTCATCTTTCTGTTCAAAATTCAAGCAATTCCCCTCTCCCGAAAAAAAGTATTGATATGCAGAGTTTTGAAAATAAAATCTGATATTACGACATTTACTCGTATGTTACAAACGTTCTCAAGCACTACACAGGCTTTAAACAAGATCACCTTCAGTAATTTCAATATGTAAGTTTATGACATATTTCTTGCATCGCAATAACAGACAACATCCAGACAATCGTTTCTTTAAATTCTTCAAAAACGTTTTCTTACAATTAGTATTATTATTATTATTTCAATTAGTCTTATTTCAAACGTTTTATTACCATGGTTTTCCAAGAAAGCACATTCGTTTAGAAATTCGTAACTTAGTTCTATGAAACTAGAAAAAGAGGAATGTATTTTAAAAGTTACTAAATTTATCGATTTAAAGCATTCACCAATTTTTATTTCCTTCTGAGAAGTAAAGGTAGTACTGCAATCGTGAAAAATTTCAGGTATCATATTTCAGCGAAAATATCCATTTGGACCGTTTTCGAACCCATTTAAACGATGTTTTTGCTTGACATCTGTGTTCAGGACATAGAGTACAGGATTATGTTTTCCAAAATAGATTCAGAAATTTTTTTTTTCCGTGACATCTGTTCGCACGTATATATCTCGCATAACTCAAAACCGAGTAGCCTTAAACTGTTAGTATTTTTGTATATACGACTGATATGACATGTAGTTGTGCACTTCCCTTTTTGGTTGCAATCGGCCGCACCACACGTAACCACCCTGTTACTTGACATGGTGAGCTCAAGCCTTTTATTCTTATATGTTGGTAAATTGAGCATTTTTTGCTTTAAAAGGGATTTAATTATGTTGTTCTTGTGTTCCGGTTAAGATTTTTAAGCCTTTAGTTAATCTGTATGCAACAGCTGTAGAACTATCAGCAATTTAAAAGTTGTTTAATTGTCTTGCTAAATCTAACAAGACCACCATTTGTTTACATTTGAGACTGTTAGTAGAATAGTGAATTAAGTCAGTCCAGCTTCAATATCTTTTTGCAGAGCGGGAGCAAAAGTAAACTTTCAATTGTGTGCACCAAAAAATCTGTCGTTGGCCGAATTGCTTATTTTTGTTTAGAAACTCTCATTTTAATTATAAAAATTGTTTTTTAAACTGTTTTATTGTTGTTATATTTTACAAATTTTAAGGAAGATGCTTTTTAAGTTTTTATGTATTTTTGCCTCGCCGCGAAGAGAGAACTGAATTAGTTGAATGAAAAATATTCCTTTTGAATTATGAAACTCGAGGAGCTAAGTTTAAATGAAATGCAGAAAAAAAATATCTATAATGTAACAGTCGTACAAGGAAGTTACTTGCTGTCTACATCAGAATTTGAATAAAATAAAAATGTCTCATTAAATTTCTTCAAAGCTTCATGTAAAATTCTATACTTCGAAAGGAACTATGGGTATGATAAACTAGCAAAGCTTTCTTCTAGAATGCGACACAAATTTGAGATCAGTATTAAAATTATCGAAAGTTAAGTTATAAGGTATTTCTCTGGCCTTCCTAGCGTGCCTTCGTGGTGTGATGGTCTGCACGCTGGGCCGGTATTCCAGAGGTCCGTGGTTCGATTCTCGGAGAAGGCGTTGCTAATTTTTCATCTTGCCTGCTTTCAAGAAATACCTAATGTCTCTACGAAGTGGTATTCGACTTTCGGCAAAGCATCGTTAATCATAGGAATTCTGTTAACTTAGAAGTTGTTGAAACAGTAATCCGATCTACTGGATTGTTAGAATCATAATCGGTAGGTTTGAAGAAAAGTTCTACGTTCGTGATAGGAAAGAAAACATCACTTAAACGTTGCTTACACTTTTACATCAAGTGAAAAAAGAATTATGAATGTTTAAATAAGATAATGCTTGATAAAAGAAATCTTCAGTGAAGTTGATCAATTTACCATGCGAGAAAGATACAAAGAAATATTTCCTAAATAGCGTTTAGTTTTTAAATATCATTTACTTAATTTATACTTGACAATATAATAAAGAAATGCAAATATTTTCATAATGTATAAGAATTTTAAAATCACCAGCACAAAAAATTTTAAATTATAAAGTATTCTGGATTCTATAAAGACAGGTATTTTGAGCACACGGCTATGAATACCTGAAGCTAAGAGTTGTTGATTTGCCCTTAGATAATTAAGATACCTTCTCGGAGTCCGTATTTAAATACATATTTGTCATAGGATCATATTTGTCAAAAAATTAAATAAAAATTTAAAAGAGCATTTTTCAAAGGAAGAATTAAAATGACTAGTACAATATATGAAACAAGATCAAGTCAAAAGTTAATAAAATATCTGAGCGAATCCTTGCCAAAGGATTAAACTATTAAAAGAAAACGGTAAAAACTAGTTAAAACATTTTTTAAAAACATTTCTTTGGATTTTAATGTCATGGACAGTAAGGATTCGACTGCTTTTGTGAATAATATTTTGGGTTTTAATATGACAGAGGGAAAAAGATAATTATATTTTTCGTTGTAATCTTTTAATGTAACTATTTTTGTGCGGTTTTATTAATTCTACCGGAATATTCATTCGCTTACAACGCACGCTTTGGCTTTAATTCTTTCATAAAAAGCTACTTCCGTTAATCATTTTCAGCAAAATTATCGGTAAAATCTTTTTCTGCGGATAATGTTAATAAAAGCTATTATTTTTGCATTAGTACATGCAAGTAGTTGTTTGAATTATTTCAGAATGCACTGAGCGAAGCACCCTGAAATTTTCAGAGAATACAAATATGGATAAGATGAAATATGTTAAATATGGTCCAAAATTTAAGGTAGACATTATATTAAAACTATAATGTAATGGCTACCTTAAGTTACAGAATACCTCCAGAATCCAATGAATCAACTTTACGCAGTTTGTATAGTTAAACTGTATCTAGCAGAAAGGTGTCGGATTTCCGGTTCTTACCTTTAGGGATTATGTGGTAACTCGAAACAGGCGAAAAGGAAATTAGATGTGCCTATAAGCTTCAATTCTCAAAAATTTTAAATGTAAAAAGATAAAATTTATAAACATTGTTTTGTTATGTTCTGTTAAGGCACCTCTCATTTAACACACGGAAGATTATCGGGAAATTCGAAAGAGGCCTCACAACCATCAAAGTTCCACTAAAATTTGGAATCGTACAAAGCTCGGGCAAAACCTGCAATGTGTTTATGACTGGATGTGTTTTAATTACACTTTACGAAGTCGCTTTCCCTCTGAAGCTGTACAACAAAGCCATTATTTATCAGAAACACAACATTCACAACCGACACTA